CACACACTCACACACACTCTCACACACACACACACTCACACACTCACACACACACTCACATGCACACACACTCACACACACACTCACACACACATACTCACACACACATACTCACACTCTCACATACACTCACACACTCACACACACTCACACACAGACACACACGCACACTCACACACAGACACACACGCACACCCACACACACACACAGACACACACACGCACACAGACGCAGACACACACACATACACATACACATACACACACACAGAGACACACACACACACACACACACACACACACACACAGTGAGAGTCTGGGACCAGCTGCCTGTGGTGTTGTCGAGGCTGATACATTAGCAGTGTGTAAGGGCCTTTTAGATAAGTACATGAATATGCAAGGAATAGAAGGATTTGGACCAAGCGCAGGCAGAAGGGGTTAGTTTCATTTGGCGTCATGTTCGTAGGCCATAGGGCCCATTCCTGTGCTGCACAGTTCTATGTTCTATGTAATTCCTTCACAACCTGAACACTCCAAAATTAATTAAACTGTGGAATTCAGAGGGTTCCAATGAAATCAATTGAATTGTTACTCAGGAAATGTTCAACTATTAAATACATAGTCTAAATGAACCCAAACATACCTTACATACCTCCCAACGACATTGCCCCAATCTCACCTACACTCCCCCAGACCTGACCTGATATCCCCAAGGCCTGATCTTCACTTTCCCTCCACTCAACACCCAATAACCATCTCCAACTTTGGACCCAATCACCATCCTCAATCTCTCTCACTCAGCCCAACCAATCTTAGACACTGCATCACTTACCTGGCCTCTTGCCACCTTCCACACTCTCATCCTACCCTCTCACAACTTGGCATTCCACCCACCTTCCACCCTCCCACACCCCCTCCCCCTCCCCCAACGACAGCTTACTTACCTGACACCTTAGGTCCTTGTAATCTGGCATCCTGCCCCCTGGTACTATACTCTGTACCCAACTGGCACCGTATTTACCTGGAACTGAAACCTCCTACCCATCTGGACTCTTCCCTCCCAGCATCCTAACATCACATTTACCTTCTCTACTGACAGGTGGCCAGTAGCTGTCTGGACTTTTATATATGAGGGTATGGAACTGGCTGCAGTGAGAAGGGTTGGGGGTTGCGGGGATCCTACTGAAAAGAACAGTCTTAATGGAAATACAGCTCCACATTTCTGAGGGAGGCCTGAGCAGAATCTCCCCTCTGAAATAAGGACCTCGCTCCTTTTGTAAATAGGAGGGTTGAACTGGTGATCTGTGTGAGTTTGTCACTCCTGAGCAAATCTGACCCTGTACGGTAGGCAGTAGACGGAGAGAGTTTTCTGTTTATTAAGCTCAGAGAGGGAAAGGAGGACATTGTCTAATCACCAGTTATAAAGATATTAACGTAGGGATTTGAGCTGCCAGTACAGACAGACAGAGACACACAGGGTTTACACAAGCATGTATCATCATCAATGAATTAACAGAAAAACTGCGCAAAACATTCTTGTGTTTATATATCAGATCCTCCTCTGCCTGAACAGCTGATTGAAGCGATGGAAAGGATTGAATCCTCCAAGAAACATGACAGTGAAATATGGACATTACAGACCGTGCTTGATGTTGGGCCTCAGAGACATTGGTGGAAATCTAGACTGCAAGACTATTACACAAATTTGTTGCGATTGAACTGCCTGCAATTGTTTATATTTCTGTTGAATTTTTGTTTATATCTGTCGAATGATTGAGGACTTAAGGCAAGGCTAAACCTTTCTTGGGAAAGTAGGCAGCTGGGTTTAGATTAGATATAGATTTTGTGATGAGTAGGTATAAAACTCTTCTTCGAGGTATGGACTGTAATATTTCAATCATATACTTATTTTAGGATCCTATATCAATTAGGACTAATATTTTGAGAACTCTTGTTGACCACAATTTGCATGAAAATAAGTTCTTGCTTGCAGAGAGACAGCTCATTATACTGTTCAAGACAGATTTCTGACAAATTGAAACTGAGATACAGTTTAAAGTAACTCCAGGCTGTGAAGAACAATGTTGCTAATAAGAATTAGTTACCCGGTTCTCTTTAGTGTCCTGCTGTAGGCTGAAAGCAAACCTCTCTCTCTGTTTTCATCACTTGCCCGTTAATAGCTTGCAATTTAATTTTTCCCCTTTTTAAACAGTGGCTGCGTATTCCCCACTCCCTCTGTTCCTGGATTCCGATCTTGGAAAGTCTACATCAACACCTTTGTAAAGTTAAACCCGAAGTAGGATTTATTTCTCAAACTCCTACAGGGTGTGGCAGTGAGCGGGGAGCACTACTTAACATGGGAAAACTCACATACACGCACCAGGAGAGATAGAATCAAATAGAATAAAGAGATTATTCAATTAGCAACAATTTAAACACAAATCCACTGAGGAATACCAATTTATCAACGTCTTCATTCTTAAGATGGAGTCTACAATTCTAAAACCCGACTTGGCAGTGTGGAATTCCTTTGTGGGTGTGATCGATTTTCCCGTCTAGCGGGAGCTTGGCTTCCTACTTCCGGGGAAGGCATGTTAATTCTGCTCCTGTGTCCAAGAGACACTCAATGTCTCGATCTCCCACTCTCATGGTCACGTATGGTCCATCTCCCCTCTGCTGGCATAAAGCCAGTAGGAGCGTAGAGGGGCACGGGGCGGGCTCATTCAGTTTTTTTGTTAAAATCAGCAGGTCCTGCTGCTGTTGGATGGACAGCCTTTTGAACTGTTCCAGGAGGTCGGGATCATTTCCTGACACCGGGGTTTCTCTTTCCTTAGGGCTCTTAGTGGGGCTGTGCCCTTCCCTCCCTGTGCCAGCAATTCTTGGACCAGTGACCCTCCTGCCCACAGACGTGCCATTTCCCTGGGTGTCTGTCCTGGGTTTTTCCAGGCCCACTGAGGGTCTGTCCTACTTGTCCTGTCTGCAGGGCTCGCACCTGAGCTCCCATTTCTTGGTCGAGCTGGTGGGCTCGGTCAACCAGTTCACAGTATTTGGCCCCGCTTTGGTCCCAATCTGATTTAGTGATTTTCAGCATTTTAGCGAGCTCTGGTTTGAGTCCTGACACAAAGGCAGATTTCAGCAGGCTGTAGTCACATGCTTTATCATCCTTTACATGTGGCACCCCTGCATATTCCTTCCAGGTTGTCCTAAACCTTTCCTCATATTCGGGGACTTCCTCAGTAGGTTTTTGGCAGCAGGCAGTGATCTCTGTCCAATCAGTCTGAGGTGGACGATATCCCTGTAGCCACTGTTTTATTGGTGTCCAGCCAGCATGCAGCACCTGCTCATATTCCCCGAGGGCACCTTTAACTGCCTCATGGAGGCGGCGTTCCTCTCTCTTGGTGACTATGACAGTGAGAATTTGTACCCCATCCCAGGGATGGAGCAGGTATATTCCGCTTAACCGGTCTAGGCTTCCCCAGGTTTTCATCGGCCGTTTCTTCGGGTGAGGCATTTCTTCAGACCACCTGTCAATGTTCTCAGGGGTCGCAGGCACATGTACAATGTGGTTTTCAGTCTGCCTCACTGGAACAGCTACCTCCCTGATGTCCTCTAATCTTTGCCTCCCTAATTTCTCAATTTTTACTTTATTGGTTTTAAGGGGCCGTAAAAAGGGTGTCAGGGGTGTATAGTCTTCATCACTGTCGCTGCTAGAGGATTACCCAGTTTTAAGAGCTATAGCTTTGTTTCATTTAATCACTTCCTGGATTTCTCGGGTGGTTGGGTATAGACTCGGCCTTGTATTTGGAGCCAGGGGCGAAACTGACAACACTGTCAGTTCATCTTTCACTTTCTTGTTCTCCTGTACAAGCTCCTGATTTTTAACTTCAGCCTCCTCTCGTTTGGATCTCTCCTGCTGAAGTTGCTCATGCATGGCTTTTCCCTGTGCTTTAAGTTTATTTTTTTCTCGGTCATGAGCTGACCGGGCCATGGTTTCATTTTTTGGTGGAGTTGTGCCATCAATGTGAGGGACCATTTAACCCTGTCCTTGTTCTTCTGTCAGGTGTTTTCTCCCCAGACCTGTTTCATGTCCTCCAGGGACCAGTGTCCTTTTGGAACATTATATTTCCGCTCTATTCTAGTTAGAGTGTCCTCTGACAAAGGTTGTATTTCAACGTACTGTAGTGGGTGCTGCAGCATTTCATCCTCTGTTATGTCGGGGGGGGCAAGCCCGCTTTTGGAGGTTGTAGACAGCTTACTGGGGTCACAAATGACTACCCGAAATCATGTGCCGTAGACAATTTCTTGCTGTGGACACCTTGTCCTAGACTTGTTTTGGCGGAGTTTGAGCCTTCTTGCTCCAGGTGCGGGGGATCAGAAATAATAGCTCACTCATGAGGTTTGGGACACTTTCAGGGACTAGATCACGACACAGAAGGGTGCTGCTTACCTCCTGCTGGTGCCCGTGACCAGTCAGGTTTGACAGTGTCCCCAGCATCCTGCCGACTATGCCAAGTTGTGAGATCGCGTTCAAAGTACCAAACGACCAGAATCAGTGAGTGGCGAAAATCGCCTCTTTATTGTACATTCACAGCAGCACGATGTAGGGCGAAATAGAATCCCCAAAATCATAGCTCAAAAGCAGCTATTTTATACAGAAGTTAAGCATACATTCTAACAGTTGAGTGCTAAGCAGTAGATATTGTACAAGAACCGTTTTGCAGGAAATCGGAGATGGTTTAAATATTTGCTAAATGTTACCGGTTATTGCTGATTGTTAATGGTTATTTTAATGAGATTGGAGTGTCTGTCTGAGATAACAAGGTGTGGAGCTGGATGAACACAGCAGGCCAAGCAGCATCAGAGGAGCAGGAAAGCTGACGTTTCGGGCCTAGACCCTTCTTCAGTGTCTGTCTGGTTTGTTCTTGCATAATTCAAAAGGTGTTAGCCGTGTTATTTTCAAGGTTAGAATTTTAAAGTTAGAAAAAGGTATCTAGTTTTTTTTAAGTAAAAGTCTGGGTTTCCAACAGTTTTGGTAATCTATTTACTATCTCTTGTTTAGTTAGTTTCATGGTTGCATCCATCTGTGGGTTCTATTTACTATCGTTCATTCGTTCACTCTCACGCACTCACTCACTCACTCACTCACTCACTCACTCACTCACTCAGTTTCGTGGTCACATCTGTTGGAGTAGTGCTATCAGTTTCATTCATTCACTCACTCATTCAAGGTCGAGAGGTTCAGGACATAGCGCTATTAGTAAGTTTTAAAGATTGCTTACAGACACTGCATAGCGTTTGTTAGTTTTATTGGTGGGGTAAAGTTTTCTTATATACATGTTGATTAAAAACTTGGGACAAGAACCTTGTTACATAATGTACAGGAAAAGTCTGCAAGGAAGTAACATTTTACTTTAGAGGAAGAGGGCTAATCCAATTATCACCTTCGAATGATACTTGAAACCACTCTGGCTGGAGCGGTTTAGATAAAGGGCTTGGTTATAGCACCTATTCACAGTTAGTTTTTAATATCAAACAACACTAGTTTTGGTGTGGGGATGTAAAAAGGTTCCATCCTGTAGTGTCTGTGCGGTTTTGTTCGCTGTCGCATCTGACTGCACCTTTGAATGGAATGTTGGTCTTGTTAAATGGGTTCTTTACATTAGCACGTTATGCATGACTACACTTTCAAGTGGAGTGTAACTGCAAATTGAAATGGTTGTAACCTGATATGGTAGCGAGCTCCTAAATTAGTTCGAATGGGGGATGGCTGGTACATGGCAATCTGCAGTTAGTATTATAAGGACAAATTAATGGATTGATGGATTAATAGACACGATTGATGAAGTTATATTAAAAGTTGTTAATGGACATGAATTCTGATATATCAATTGGCTAGTCTTAAACAGTTTCTTTAATTTAAAAATCTCTTCAAATGCCTTCTGAAAATCTGGCTGAAAGATCATTTCAGCTTTGTTAGTTTGATGACATGTAGAAAGAACAAATAGGGGCTGCTTTTCACAGACCAGAGGCTTCTCCTTTATAACCTGGGGTTAGGGGTTTTAATATCATCAGCAGATGTTGTATGAAACAACATTAACCCCTGAATTGACTGCTACTCCACTATTGCGTGATTAAAAGGCAGTTTTGTTCAGCACAAGGAGAAACATGTGACCAAGCCTCCTGTGGGGAGTGCCGAGCGGTGGAACAGTTACCATCAAGACAAAGGCTTGCATTTTAAAGTTTTATTTGTGTGATGTGGACATTGCTGCCTTGGTCAGAATTTATTATCCATCCCTGATTGCCCTGGAAATTGTGACGGTGAGCTGCCTTCTTAAAGCACCCCAATCTTTGGGGTGCGGATAGACCGACAATGCTGTTTGGGAGGGAGTTCCAGGTTTTGGACCCAATGACACTGAATGGAAGGTGATATATTTCCAAGGCATGATGGTGTATAATTTGTAAGGGAACTTCTAAAGTGGTGGTGTTCCCATGAATTTGATGTCTTTGTCCTTCCAGCTGGTGAGGTTGGAAGGTGCTGTCTGTTATATTTCTGGTTCACTGTGTGTTATCTGGTTATTGTGTGTTCTCTCAGCTCCACAGTCAGTTCCAGACTGCCCCTCTAGCTCCCACCTCCAGGTCACCTGACCCACTCTGTTATAAGGGTAACACACACCCAACGATATATATAACAGCCTTCCCCCTTTATTTCTAGACTCCCATGTATACATACATACATCCAACAACTATAACTGCTATACAAGCATTGTAGTTAACTTATACATATCGGCAGGAATATTTACAAAAAAGCATAGGGAAAAAGAAAACAACCCTTTCACAGTCTACATCAACATGATCAGTCTCTCCATGTCTCAGGAACCTTTTCTATGGTAGTCTCCAAGGCTTTTCCAGGGGCAGAGTGTAATACAGCATAAATAGATGGGAAAGCCAGCAAAGATGAGGAGATAAAGAGTTTACAGATGGACATTGATAGGCGAGGACAATGGGCCAGGATCTGGCAGTTGGAGTTTATTGTAGCTAAATGCGAGGTTGCCCATTGAAAAATAAAAGGGCGGATTATTACTGAAACAGATTCAAAGTGCATCAGTGCGGAGGGATCTGGGTGTCCTTGTGCATGAATTGCAGAAGGTGCAGCATATAATAAGAAAGGCAAATGGAATCCTGACATTTATTGCAGGAGATAACAAGGTGTAGAGCTGGATGAACATA